TGTCCCTCTTTGCAGATGACATGATCTTACATGTAGAAAAATCTGAAGACTCCACCAGAAAACTCTTGGATCTGATAAATAAATAAATTCAGTAAGTTGCAGGATACAAAATCAAAATTAAAAAATTAGCATCATTTCTATACACTAATAATAAACTAGCTGAGAAAGAAGCCCAAAAGACAATCACATTTACAATAGCTACAAAAGGAGAAAAAAAAACCCTAGGAATAAATCTAACATAACAGGTGGAAAGATCTCTATAAGATAAAACTACAAAACACTGATGAAAGAAATGGAAGAGAATACAAACATCCTTAGAGAGAGACCTTAATTCCTGTAGGATATGGGAGATGACTAATGCCCACCTCGTGCTCCCTGGTCAGGCTGCAAATGGAAATAAAGCATTCCTCTTAGTAAGCAACCATATTTAACTAGAAAACAGTCATTAACATAGTCAGAAACCTTTTTGTTGATAGTCCTTTATCCCCTACTTACCCCTTAGGTAGGTTTACTTGTCTCTCTTAAGAAAAATTAATAGAACACAAGGAAATCTCAATAGAGAGGAAACAGGAAATTTTTATATCCTTATGTGACTAGATGAGAGGCACTGGGGCAGTTTCACTTTCCTTTCTTCTTGCCAGCTATGTTTTGAAAAAAGATAGCAAGAAGGCTGATGGAGCCCGTGTTCTGTGCTAATTATGATCATTCAAATGATTAACCATCACCTTTACAGTCTTCTTGGTGCTTAAATAATAACTAACCATTAACTTTACCCTTTTTCATTAGAATAATCAACTTTTATATGAACAGGAAAATAGTTTAATTCAAAACTGTCAATCATAAATGTCACAATTTTAGTTACTGAATCTTTCCAAGGCTTCGTGGTGTGTAATATACCCTTATTTTTTTCTTGACACGGAGTCTCGCTCTGTCACTCAGGCTGGAGTGCAATGGCACAATCTTGGCTCACTGCAACTGCCACCTCCCAGGTTCAAGCGATTCCCCTGCCTCAGCCTCCTAAGTAGCTGGGACTACAGGTATGTGCCACCACCCCTGGCTAATTTTTGTATTTTTAGTAGAGACAGGGTTTCACCGTGTTGGCCAGGCTGGTCTTGAACTCCTGACCTCAGGTGATCCACCTGCCTCGGCCTCCCAAAGTGCTGGGATTACAGGAGTGAGCCACCATGCCTGGCTGTGTGTAATATACTTTTAAACCAAGGAAAGAACTACATAAGTTTTCAAAATGTGATAAAAACATACTAACATGCAAATAAATAACACTGCTACTAAATTCATTTTACAACAGGACATGAGCTTATACATGTAAGAATTAAATCCAAGTCCTTAGAGGAGCAGTGTCATACTTCATGAGTTTACAATCATGAATTGCCCATTTTTGGTCATGGGTTCTACATACTTCATGGGTTCTACATACTACAACTTATATTTAATGCATTAAGAATACGTGAATACTGAACCATCTATTAGGCAGCCTACTGGGAAAGAAAAGCTGAATGTGGTCAATAAAAGTGATTATTCTGAAGGAGAGTAGACAGAAATGTGTACCAAGCTACATTTGGACCATTTACATTGAAATCACTATCATTAGCCAAGTTAAAGATTGAGAATAAAAGCATGAAGAAGGAAAAATAGAGCAAAATTAGTAATAAGCTCTTTATAATAAACCATTAATTTACACAATGGGAGAAAGCAAAACAACAAATACTTACACATATACACTTTTGTATTTCCCATCTTTTCCAGTACTTGAGATCAGAACTTCATAACCATAGAGCTCTGGTACAGTACTTTCATCTGTTTCACCATTAATGAGGCTGGAAGGTGGTGACCAGGTAAGTACTACTGTCCTTGCCTGGATGTCAGAGGCCTGTAAAAATACAACATTTAAAAGTTCTTTAAAACAACTGTAATGTATACAATGAGCAGTGAAATATCTAATGAGGTTTCAAGATTAAATAAAATGTATCTGTTTATACAGATAAAATGGCTCAAAATATAAACCTGCTCATTGTAAATAATTTGTTGTGGGTTCCACAACAAATGAGGTGGGTTCCACAAAAATTTAAAACCCAGGCCATTCAAAACTATCAGCACAGACACCACATTATTTTTCAAAAGAAAAAAAACGGGATTAAAAAGACCATTGTAACATATTTAAAAAGGTTCATTTAGAAAGTGTTTTTACAACAGGAAGATGACAAAAACTCAAGAGAAAAAGGAGCAAAGGACATTGACATCCAAAGATACATAAATACAAACGGAAAACATATAAAATGATGTATGTGTGAAACTGCATTCATAAATACACATAAATTAAAACAAAATCCCAGTTTTCATCTACTGGATAGGGGAAGATTAAAAAGCTAATACTATCTAGTGTTAAAAATGTGGAGAAATGGCACTCTCTAAGCGTGGTATCAGTATATATAAGTTCAATCTTTGTGTACAGCAACTAGTGAATCATCACAAAATTTAAGATGTGTTTGCTTTTTGATTCAGAAATTCTACATCCAGGAATTTTTTTTCAGGGTAATATCCTATAAACTTAACATACGTACACAAATATACACTTAAGAATGTTCATTGCAGCATTATTAATGGCAAAAAGCTAGAACTAACTATAGGGCACTGACTACCTAAATGATGGTACATAATACAGCCCATGAACACATTATTCTGCAAGTGTTCAAAAAAGAATACGAGGTGGACATACACGTGCTAACATCTGAAAATTTCCTCAATATACAGGTGCTACATAATAAAAAAGTGAAGCTGGAAAGCAGTACATATACTGTGACTGCAGTTAACTTTTATAAAACTGCACAAAAATGTCTGAAAATGTACTGTACATCAATTGTTATCTTTGGGGATTTAGTGTATGTGTGGTGAGATGCAGAGAAAGTTGTGACAGAAAAAAACAGGTGGTTTCAATTATGTTTTATATATTTTTATACTACTGAAATAATTTTATGAGTACAAGTTACTTTTACAAGACAAGCCTAATAAAGCGAAAAAAATCTAGAGATCGGGTAAGGTTTACAGATTGGTAAGAAAGGTACCAGATTATATGTAGGCATTTATATAAAAGCTTGCTTTAAAATTATACACGTTTAATGACTACCTTAGCATTTCTAAAACCAAACTAATAATCACTAGGATGACAATTACTCCTATCTTGAATTAAAGTAAAATAAGTAATCTCCATAAAATTGTAATATTCTGTCCTTTTCAATGTTCTCAAAGTCTGAATAAATAAAAAAAACTATTACTATATTTATTTTGCTTCTGTTAAATCATAGGAAATGTAATACTGTATTCACTATAATACTGTCTTAAAGTCTTGGTACTGTGTTTCATTTACAATGAACTTAAACATGATTCCTTGTATGATCCAGTATACAGCTGGCTATTAACCTGAAACTGAGCAGGTTTTTTTCTTTTTTAAAACAAACTATTACTATACATGTATGGATACCCATAAGTGTCTCTTGATTTTATGGGATGATCACAGTTGTGTTAAACTTTGAGAACGTGAATAGGACTATGAAAGTGGGTCAGTCAAAAGCATTAACTGGCATCTACTTTAGTAGTAGTAGTAGTAGTAGTAGTAGTAGTAGTCGTCAAAAGCATTAACTGGCATCTACTTTAGTAGTAGTAGTAGTAGTAGTAGTAGGAGTAGTAGTCAAAAGCATTAACTGGCATTTACTTTAGTAGCAGTAGTAGTAGTAGGAGTAGTAGGAGTAGTAGGAATAGTAGTCAAAAGCATTAACTGGCATCTACTTTAGTAGTTTTAGTAGTAGTAGTAGTAGTAGTAGTAGTAGCAGCAGCAGCAGCAGCAGCAGCAGTAGCAGCAGTAGTAGTAAAGATGGGGTCTTTCTATGTTGCCCAGGATGGTCTCGAGCTCCTGGCCTCAAGCTACCCTCCCGCCTCAGCCTCCCAAAGTGTTGGAATTACAGATGTTGAGTCACTATGCCCAGCTTGGCACCTACTTTATGAAGCTTACTTTATCAGGATCTGTGGTGAATACAGACAGCCGAGAAAATATTAAATATGGAAGCACAAGATGTGTCACTAATTTGCCTGGTGGTACACTGAACTCCCACCCTCTTAGGGTTCTAGGCCTCATCAACAAAATGAGTGGCTGAGCGAGATGAACTGTATACCAGAGTTACACAAAGTATTTTTAAAAGCCCTTTATTTGGAAATAAATTTAGGTTTAAAGAAAAGTTGGGAAGACAGTATGGAATCCCTGTCTATCCTTTACCCAGCTTCCCCTAATATTAACATCCTATATAACCATGCACTTTTGTCAAAACTAAGAAATTAATATTGGTAAATACTATTAACTAAGCTTTCAACGTAAACTACACTTTTAACTAAACAGAATTCCAAAATACTAGGTTGAATTTAGCAAACATAGTTTTAAAAATAAATTTAAAAAATTTTAAAATACGAATATCAACTTAAAATATATATATATTTTTATATATATATATATATTTTATTGAGACAAGGTCTTACTATTGTTGCCTGGGCTGGTTGCAAACTCCTAGGCTCAAACGATCCTCCTGCCGCGGCCTCCTAAAGTATTGGGATTACAGGCGTGAGCCACTGCACTGGGCCTATTTCAACTTTTTCAATTTGCTTTTCCAGAAAATCTTTTAGTACTAACTCATTCTATTAAAAAGATATCTTATGGCCAGGTGCAGGGGCTCATGCCTGTAATCCCAGCACTATGGGAGGCCAAGGTGGGCAGATCACCTGAGGTTAAGAGTTCAAGACCAGCCTGGCCAACATGGTGGAACCCTATCTTTACTAAAACTACAAAAATTATCTGGGCATGGTGGTGCATGCCTGTAATCCCAGCTACTCAGGAGACTGAAACCCAAGAATCACTTGAACCTGGGAGGCAGAGGTTGCAGCAAGCTGAAATCATGCCACTGCACTCCAGCACTCCAGCCCTCCAGTCTGGGTGAAAGAGCAAGACTGTCTCAAAAAAAAAAAAAAAAAAAGAGGGGTATCTTATTACTTGCACATAAATGTTAAAGTCACAGAAAGAGTGATTTCATTGGGAGAAGATGTGGAAAACTTCGTAAGTGAATTCGGAATTTAATTTTAAAGGACTTGGATGAGATAAAATTTGGTAGAAAGAGGTGGGTGATCAATACAGGAATGAGTATTTATATTTCCAAGCTTATAACTGCAATCTGGTAGTCCAAGGCATGTTCTTATGTATTTTTAAAATCTTCTAAAAATGCTGTTTTCTGTTGCTGGTTTCAGGTGAATTATAAAGAGTCGCATAGAAGAAAAAGAAGTGGACACCCACATAGATACCACAAAATTCCTGTGTGAAGACTGAGGTAGTAATTGTGTGTGTATGTGGAGTGGTAGGGGACAGTGGGGAGAGTGGATCCTATAAACTTACAGTGAAATAATAAAGCTTGGAGTATTAATCTGGCATGGGGAGAATGAAAGGTAAAGAAATGTAAGATGATACTGTAACCCAGGAAAACCTGGATATAAGTGTTTACCGATGGAAACAACGAAAGGAAACAGAAACAAAAGAGATCTAACCCAATTTCTTCTTCATTTTAGAGGAATGAAGAACGTGTTAAATTGGATAGACAAGCAAATTGAGAATTTGGTTTTCTAAAGTTGCTAGTGAAACATTCAAACTTGGGTATTCTTTAGTGTGTCTCAGGAGATACAGTTCTACAGGAACAGATGAATAATTAGGATTGAAAATATAGATTTGGAAGTAATTTGAACTCTATTTGTATGTTAATGTTAGAAGTAAAATTTGCTTTTATATCCATATCACTTGATTCTTACAACTACCACCTAAAGTAGGCAAAATAGGCTTACCTATCTTCATTTTATGAAAGGAGCATATTCAGAAAGGTTAAGTAACTTGTCTGAGGTCACAGAACCATTGACTAGGACCCGAATAATTCAGTTATTTTCCTACTACTCAATGATCCCACCCTGAATCTACTTCTAGGTGGTGGCTGAAAACAGATACGATTGTGTAAAAATGTCTAAGAACTGATAAAGATGGTAATAGGAAAAAGTGAAAATAGCTCTTTTAGAAAGTGGCTAGATTATGCACAATATATTTTTTGAGGCAGATTGTGATCCTTGTAAGGTAGTCATCAAAACTACCCTTGAGAAAAACTGCACATTGGGTTAAATTAAGTATATATATAGGAAACTAAACTGTTAAAAAAGTTCAAAGCCATATATACTGTATGAATTTTGACAAAGACTGTAGAAGAAAGAAATGAGAGTATCTAATTTCTGGATTTCCAGAAATATTAAAGTAGAATAAACATCAATGTTTGATCCTTGTCTAGATAAGGGCATCAGGAGGTGAGAGAATAATTCTGAAGATAACTCAAAGGCTGAGCCTAAGGAAACTTGGAGTTAGTAAGTACTTCTAGTAACCACAAAAAGGTAAAGGGAAGGGGTAATGATTCTGAAAGCAAAAAGGTAATGAGTAAAAGGCATGACACATTTAATTTTAAGCATACTGAAATAAATGGAAATGAAATCCACTGAAATAAATGTCAGTAGATTTTCACAAAAATGCGACTGAGAACAATTTCAAAGAAGAACAAATGAAAAGACAATACTTTCAATATAGTTAATTATTTCATGCATGTGAGGGTACACAATACCATTATTCTCCATTTTCTGAAAGAAGAAACATTCACAAAGGTCAAGTGACTTGTCATGGGTCATTCAACTCCTAAGTACACAGCTGAGACTGTGAGACTACTGCATGTACCACATTCTCCCCTACACACTGCACTCTGGTCACATGAGTGAGCTTTTCTCTTTCCTTTTTTGTTCCTCAACTGTGCCATGTTCAGTGCTTTTCAAATGCTGCTCAGTTTGCAATACTGTTCCCATACTTTCCACCCTTGTCCTCAATGCCCAACCACTACTTTTCCTTCAAATATCTGTACAATAATCCTTCCTTAGGGAAACTTCCCTGATTCCCTATCCAGGTTTAGTCCTCCTATTATATGCTCTGATTGCTCTCTATCTTTTTGTTCTGGCACTTCACAGTTACAATTTACCATTCATTGTGTGATGCTTAGTTTTCTAAACTAAGTCTTGTGGCAGAGCCCGTGTCTATCCTTTGCTTTCCATTCTATCTCCAGCTTTAGCACAGCATCTGTCACTTTGTAAGTGGTCAAATATTTATGGAATGAAAAAGTGAATGAACACATTTAATTTAGTGCTCTAAATGAACTAGAGCATGCAAAAACAACAAAACACACAAAAACAAGCAAAAACCCTGATCTGTGCTTTGTAGCTCACAAATAATTTAATCAAAGAGGAATCGGCATTCAAACTATAAACATAAAGTAAAAGCAAACAAAACCATCAGCATTACTTTAAGTTTTATGATACAGGGCTTACTATCTTATTAAATTACATGTTCTTCCTGATGTTGAGTAAGAAAGTCTTTGAATTGGCTTTAAGATTGACTTTTTGTGTATGTAAATTATACATTTATTTATTTATTTATTTATTTATTTTTGAGACAGGTTCTTGCTCTGTCACCCTGGCTGGAGCGAAAAGGCACAATCTTAGTTCCCTGCAGCATTGAACTCCTAGGCTCAAGGGATCCTCCCACCTCAGCATCCCAAGTAGCTGGGACTACAGGTGTGTGCCCCCATGTTTGTAGTATCTGTATTTGTTTTTTGTAGAGACAAGGTCTCAATATATTGTGCAGGCTGGTCTCAAACTCCTGGCCTCAAATGATCCTCCTGTCTTGGTTTTCCAAAGGACTGGGAAAGTGTGAGCCATTGAACCTGGCCTGAAAATTATACTTTTAATATATACTACAACAAGTAAATGCTACTAGCATTAGCTATTAAATCACTCAAACATCAATCTTATTAAGGCTACTAAATTCCTTTTCTAGGAAACCTAGTGATATACACTTGGACATAGAGAGCTCTTGGAAGGATACTGCCTAAATTTCAGTCGTAGCTCTACTACTACTAATTGAAACTCACTGTTGCTTCAGTTTCCTCATTTGTAAAATAGGAAAAATAGTACATATATGGTTGTCACAGGTATTAAATAATGCATATGTGCATTCCAGGCACTCTAAACAGAGACTGATGCTAATCAATTTGTGTTAGCCATTACTATGAAATAATTCTGTGTAAATTTACATTTATTGATACATATATGCTCTATTCTCAAGAGAAAACAGATTAGAATAAAGCTAGAGCAACCAAATCTATTATTTGGGAGTTGCCAGAAAAAGTAGGACCATAGTAGTCTATTAGATGAGGAACTGGCTTACTCAAACATCCTGAAACATGGCAAGATAAGCTTTAAAAGCCTTTGTGGAGACGGTACTAAGAATAATAACTTTTCCAATTTGTTTTCTTAGAAAAACAAAGTATTTTTGGGGTAACTTAGCATAAAACATTTTACCATGGATGTTTCTGAGAGTTGGGAGAAAGTAGTTTGTTTTATGAACCAAAAAATATTCTTATCAATCTTAAATTGCCTTATTCTGGCTGAAAAAGTCCTATGGCCTACTTCTTCCACCATCTTTCCCCCTTTAAACTATACTCCAGTGATAATGGTTCTTTCCATCTGTCCAACTCCCCATGCTTACTTACACCCATTCTCCCTCTCCCATTCCTTCCACTTTTGCACTTTTTCTCACTTGTCAGAGAACGCTTCCCTGATTGCTCTATTTAACCTAACAACCTCTCCTAGTAATCTCATTATATTATTCCTATTTCTATAATAGCAATCTTTACTATCACACAGAATTCTGTTTGTGCATTTGTTTTTTATTTATTGGCATATAGTAAGGGATCAATAAATATCTGATGAATGAATGAAAAACTATGTAGCTCTTCAAAGAATCAGGTAATGACACAGAAAGACAGCTGAGGCATACCATATTGAGTGAAAACAGCTTGTCACAGAATACAGTATTATCCTATTTTCATAAAAAGTTAAAAGAAAAAAACTACATTTTGATGGATGAACACCTTATATTAATATACTAAATATAAACATCAATAAAATACATAAGATACTTACCACTGGTTTGACAATGTTGGAAAGAAGTGCTTCAAATGCTTTAGTTTCTTCATTTTTTTCTTAAAAAAAAAAACATTTGAATATTTAAAAAAAGAATTTAGATACAATCCCTTCTTCTCCCTAAATATATATTCTGAAACTAGGTTGGTATTTGAGACTTTTCTAGTTCTTATTCCTTTGTTCATACTCAGCAGTTTGTGGCCCTTCAGCATTCATCTACTTCAGTTTTTATTTCTATCTTAACTGTGACTACTAATTATAACACCACTATATATAAATATATCTATATATATTTAGACATGGCTATATCTATCTGAACCAAATTTTTCTTATAGAAAGTATATTTTTATTCATGGTTGTAAGAATATTCTCTCTGAAAAGTTCTCATTTGTCAATCTCATACCTCTTAATAAAGTTAACTATTTTTTTCACGACGTGCCTTAGCTATGGTTTCCCAAATTGGAAATGTAATTGGCTTGACTGTAACTTATAGCCACCACTGATAGGCAAAAAACTTTAACTTAATTCTTCCGAAACGTCAGTGCTGAAAACAATGATCAGGAGTTTCAAATAAACGGGAGAACACTTATGTAAATGTTGTTAATATACAGGTCGTGAACAGTTAAGGCAGTTTTTGAAATTTGTTGGTGAGGAATAGAAATTTTAAGGAAAAGGAAGTTAGGAAGAGTCAACATGGCTTATATTTTCATATTTCCCTCAAAGTTGGAAGCACTTTAGTTTCTAGTCGATATTAATTACCTACACTATTTGGTAATAAAAATCAATTTAGATAAGCATATTCAACGACTGATAGAGTTGTGGTTATTGGTGCTTGTGAAATGACATGTTGGTATGGTTCATAGTCATTTCTGATGAAACCTTTAGAACCTGACATGGTCTACCATGCATATCTATGTATTTCTACATAAGCATATCTACGTCAAACAGGTAATAGTCAGTATTAAGGAAACCTAAAAGATCATAAATATAGAAACTACATTAGTCAAAGTAAGCAGTAGTTAGAAGTTTAACATTACAATCAAAAGTACTTGGTACTAACTCTACAACTGTAGGCATGTGAAAGACAGGCTGTTAACCCAGCTATATTTTACCTTACTGAGATTGATTCAAGTAGATACAAATAGTAGTGCTCAAAGTTCATATAGTAGGCTCATGCCTGTAATCTCAGCACACTGGAAGGTCAAGGTGGGTGGACTGCTTGAGCCTAGGAATTGGAGACCGGCCTGGCCAAGATGGTGAAACCTTGTCTCTACTAAAAATACAAAAATTAGTTGGGCTTGGTGGCACACACCCATAGTCCCAGCTACTCAGGAGGCTGAGGCACAGGAACTGCTTCAACACAGGAGGCGGAGGTTGCAGTGAGCTGATATTGTGCCACTGCATTCCAGCCTGGGTGACAGAGCGAGACTTGGTCTCAAAAACAAACAAAAACCAATAAAACAAACAAACAAAAACCAATAAAACAAAGTTCACAGAGTAGAAGTCAGAGGTTAGGGGAAGGATCCAAGAGTAACAAGGAGAGTTTAGGAGAAGAGAACTTTTGAAGAAAGAAGTGGAAAATACTCTAGCCTAATTATAGAGTACACAGAGAGATTGGTAAATGATATAACTATTTGCTATCAAGGTTTTAATCAAAAAGAAGGTGGGAGAAATAAAAAGTTTTGATAGGTTAGGGACGGTGGCTCAGGCCTGTAATTGCAGCACTTTGAGAGGCCAAGATGGGAGGATCGCTTGAGCCCAGAAGTTTAAGACCAGCATGGGCAAAGCAGCGAGACCCTGTCTCTACTAAAAGTTAAAAAATTAGCTGGGTGTGGTGGTGCATGCCTGTAGTTTCCAGCTACAGTGATCTATGATTGTGCCACTCCAGCCTGGGTGACAAAGCAAGACCCTGTCTCAAAAAAAAAAACCAAAAAACCAGTTTTGATTAAAAACCAGTAGCATAGTCTTATCAAAGGCCCAGAATCAGAAGAAAGGAATCTGGATTAATGTTATCTGAGTTTTCCTATGAAATAGAAATTTCAGTCAGTACAATTTATGATATAGATGAAATTACTAATTGAGGTTTTCTAAACTGTCAAAAGCTGCAGCCTGTAATAGTCCATCTGCACCATGACAAAATGACTGAAAGGTTAGAATATACTTTTAGTAGGTTAAATCACGACGAGTAGCATCAATGAGAACATTTCAGTATTTCAAACAGTTACCTTCAATTTCTGTATCAACTTGCACAACACCTTTCCCCTTCCCAGACTTGATTTTTGCTGATCCTGTGTTTATACCACCAGCATTTTGTCCTTTTATAAGTCCATTATGTTCATTAATGGGAGAAGGGCATTTCTGGGGTGATGATGGTGGACTGCTCATTTTATCTTTCTGTGTTCCTTGGCGATCCTTCAATTTTTTCTGCAAACGTTCATATGTTTTACTAGATCGTTCATCTCTAAAGTTGGACCTTCCATGTGTAGAGTGAGCATCTAGGAGGAAATAAAAACCAAAAGTTAAGAAGATCACTTTCTCCAAATAAGTTTATGCCATGAAAAAAGGACAGAAAATAAATCTATCATATAAAACTTTTATAAAATATTTAAAAGAATTTTGCATAACAAAGCAACCTTTGTGTCTCCATAAACTATTAGAACCAAGCTTTGTGATTTATTCTAATTTTATATCTATATATCTATATATCTTATCTCTCTATATATAACTCTATGTATTATATATATCTATATATATCTCAAGTAAATTTACAGAGAGATTTCTTTCCTTCTTCTGTTCTCAACTAATTATTAATCTCCACAGAAACAGCTTGGTGGTATCTTATGATTACTGCAGGTGAGGAATGAGACTTGAACTGAGCAGTCCACAGTTTTTTCTCTTTTACTCTTTAGTAACTATTACTTTTCACATCTTTTTGAACCTTAAACACATAAAATAGATAAAAAGAAAACCACTGCCTGCCTAAATTCCCTTATGACTCAAAAAAGCAAATCATCACTGAAAAAAAAGTTAGCAAAAAGAAATGATTTAGACTGTTTAACAATAACAACCTACATACAATGTATCTTCATAGTAACATAATTAAGTCAATATGCTCAATAAATATTATTTCAATTGTCCCCAGAGTTTTTTAAATTTAAAATTTGTCATGAGAAAAATATTTTTTAAAAGCCTCAGTAAAAAGTTTTAATTTAGCAGTGCCTTAAGAAAATTATTACAGTATTTTTGAAATGAGTATTATAAGGATATGTACAATAACATTAGAATGAATGTGGACCTCTACCTCATACCATATACAAAAATGAATTCAAATGAATCAATGACCAAAATGTAAGAGATTAAATTATAGAACTCTCAGAAGAAAATACGGTTGCATGACCTTGGATTAGGCAATAGTTTCTTAGATGAGACACCAAAAACATAAGCAATCAAAGAAAAAATTAGATTTCATCAGAATTAAGTTTTTCTGCACCAAAGGATACCACAAGTGAAAAGACAATGTGGGAGGAAATTATATATCTGATAAGGAACTTGTATCCAGAATATGTACACTCTTACCATTCAACAATAAAAAGACAAATATCC